TAGCAGGAGCTAAAACTAGCATAGCAGGAGCTAAAACTTTCATAGCAGGAGCTAAAACTTTCATAGCAGGAGCTAAAACTTTGGTCTGAGCAAAAAAACTCCAGGTAACTCCATAACTACACATAACTCCACATAAACTCCACCCAGAGAGGTCAGGAGGCAAACCTGTGACCTTCTTGCTGTGAGGTAACCGCTCCAAACAATGCACCACTAGGCCACCTCTAACCAGGTCTTATGTTTTTCAATCAACTCAAGCTAAAGTCAGAAAACAGATGCTAACACGAGCTAAAAACACCAGGAGTTAGCCTGAGTCAGGTTTCTGTGCTGGGGGGTCGAAGCAGCTCTGCCTCACCTCCTCCTCCTGCAGCAGCAGACTGGGAGGTGAAGCTGTGAATAATTACATGCTGAGGAGTAATCACCTCCTGCAGGGCCTCATTAGCACAGTTTGACCTTTGGAGCATCCAGAAGCTGTTGAACCTCCTTCTCTGCCCTCAGACCTCCTGCGTCCACCCTCTGGACTCCGTCCTGGACTGCGCAGTCCCTGTTGGACCCCGGCAGCAGATCATCTACCCGCTGGAGGAGCTTGGCATCAACGGCCCATCCCGGCAGCTCACAGAGGACCAGGTGGGCCCAGAGACTCCTGCCAGACAAATGGAGATTAATTTTAGAGAGGAGACACCAGCAGGGGCGCTGTTGGTAGGAGACGCCGCAGCTCAGGAGCTGACTCGAACGACAAATTAACCACCATTATTCATTAGTTATTGATTAGTTCAAACTGTTTCTCTTAAACTTTCCTGTCTTAAAGACTGGGACACTAAACTAGACAGAGGTCAGAGTCTGTTTTGCTGAGTTTAGGACAAATGAAGGGGTCAGAAACATGAAGACCTTCTCTCCTCTCAGGACCCGTTTGCTCTCAGCCTCATTAGCAGGAAGTTAACCATGGAGCCAAAGGTCACCGTTAACAGCAGGATTGTGGTGGTGGGGGCTTCAGACACTGCTTTGTCCTTCCTCGAGGTGCTCTGTTTGTGGTGAGTCCCTTCTGCAATCCAAATCAAATATTATAACTGAACTTAAACATGTTCAGCGGTGTTTGTGTTCTTGTTACGGCTGTTGCTGTGTGTGTTCTCAGAAACAGAGCTTCTCACCTGCTCCGCCTCCTCATCTCCTATCCTGAGTGGCAGGAGCTCATCTTGTTTCAGCCTGAAGTCCAAGATGAGCTCCTTTGTCATCCTGATGTAGGACAGGTTGTGGTCTGTACACCATCCTGTCAGTCTGCTGACCTCATCCCTGTAGGTGGTCCTGTAGGTGGTCCTGTAGGTGGTCTTGTAGGTGGTCCTGTAGGTGGTCCTGTAGGTGGTCTTGTTGGTGGTCCTGTAGGTGATCCTGTAGGTGGTCCTGTAGGTGGCCTTGTAAGTGGTCCTGTAGGTGGTCTTGTAGGTGGTCCTGTAGGTGGTCTTGTTGGTGGTCCTGTAGGTGGTCCTGTAGGTGGTCTTGTAGGTGGTCCTGTAGGTGGTCTTGTTGGTGGTCCTGTAGGTGGTCTTGTTGCTGTTTGAGATGAGACCCACAACAGTGGTGTCATCAGCCAACTTTATGATTTTACTTGTTGGGTGTGCTGTCTCAGGTATAGAGGGAATAAAGGACAGGGCTAAGCTCACACCCCTGTGGTGCTCCTATGCTTAGTAACAGGCCTGGCGATAAAATGTTTGACCCATAGACTCAGGTGGTCTTCAAAATCCAGCTCCTTTCTGATTAGTATGCTGGGATCAACTGGGTTAAAAGCAGAGTCGCCTCACATATGCCCCTGTTCTGCTCCAGATGAGCCCCATGAAATGTGGAGGGTGACGTTTAAGGCATCCTCTGTTTGCTCTGTAGGTGTGCTGACACTCATTCAAGGCAGGAGAGAGTTTTTTCTATGTGGTCCAGAACAAGTCCCTGAAAACACTTGGAGATAATATCCTAATGCTGCTCAACAATCCAGGTAGAAAAATCGAAAAAAGTTAAATCTGGTCTTCTGGACGGGTTCAAAAAACAAACCAAAAAAAAAAAAAGTAGAAACGTTTCGTCTCTCATCCAAAGGACTTCCTCAGTCTGACGTGCTGTTTTCAGCTCAGTCTCTTAAATAGCACCTTCTTAGAGTGGATCAACCAGTTTTGCTGCTGACAACCAAAACCAGCTGATCACATGCTCAAGAAGGACCATCAGCCTAACAATGGATCATTAGCACCTGATGGCTGTTTACTATTCACAGAGGGCTGAGTGATACTAGCAATCACAGCATCATTAGTGGCTGTGGTGGCAGCAAAACAACGTGGAGCGACACTTCACCAGCTAACACGTTAAATTCAATGCTAACCACCCCCTGGTGTCTCACAACAGACAGAAGAAGATCAGAGTTAGAGACCACTTTGAACAAGCGGAGACAAATTTCATGAGACATTTTCAGATGAGGTCTTGAAAAAAGCAGTGATGAAATATATGAAAAATAATTTCTTTAAAAAGAGTAAATGATGTGATGATTAGTTAAAATGATTTTATATGTACAAACCGGATTCCAAAGAAGTTGGGCCACTAAACAAATAGTGAATAAAACCTGAATGCAATGATGTGGAGGTGCCAACATCTAATATTTTATTCAGAATAGAACACAAGTCACAGATCAAAAGTTTAAACTGAGAGAATGTATCATTTTAAGGGGAAAATCTGTTGTTTCCAAATTTCATGGCGTCAACAAATCCCAAAAAAGTTGGGACAAGTCCATTTTTCCCACTGTGTGGCATCCCCCCTTCTTCTTCCAACACTCAACAGACGTCTGGGGACAGAGGAGACCAGTTTCTCCAGTTTAGAAATAGGAATGCTCTCCCATTCATGTCTAATACAGGCCTCTAACTGTTCAATCGTCTTGGGCCTTCTTTGTGGCACCTTCCTCTTTATGATGCACCAAATGTTCTCTATAGGTGAAAGATCTGGACTGCAGGCTGGCCATTTCAGTACCCGGATCCTTCTCCTACGTAGCCATGATGTTGTGATTGCTGCAGAATGTGGTCTGGCATTATGGTGTTGAAAAATGCAGGGTCTTCCCTGAAAGAGATGACGTCTAGATGGGAGCATATGTTGTTCTAGAACCTGAACATAGTTCTCTGCATTAATGGTGCCTTTCCAGACATGCAAGCTGCCCATGCCACAAGCGCTCATGCAACCCCATACCATCAGTGATGCAGGCTTCTGAACGGAGCGTTGATAACAACTTGGGCTATCCTTGTCCTCTCTGGTCCGGATGACGTGGCGTCCCAGTGTTCCATAAAGAACTTCAAATCGTGACTCATCTGACCACAGAACAGTCTTCCATTTTGCCACACTCCATTTTAAATGACCCCTGGCCCAGTGCAAACGGCTGAGCTTGTGGAGCTTGCTTAGAAATGGCTTCCTCTTTGCACTGTAGAGTTTCAGCTGGCAACGGCGGATGGCACGGTGGATTGTGTTCACTGACAATGCTTTCTGGAAGTATTCCTGAGCCCATTCTGTTATTTCCTTGACAGTGGCATTCCTGTTTGAGGTGCAGTGACGTTTAAGGGCCCGGAGATCACGAGCATCCAGTAGAGTTTTACGGCCTTGACCCTTACGCACAGCGATTGTTCCAGATTCTCTGAATCTTTTGATGATGTTATGCACGGTTGATGATGATAACTTAAAAGTCTTTGCTATTTTATGCTGGGTAACACCATTCTGGTATTGTTGCACTATCTTTCTGTGCAACAATGGTGGAATTGGTGATCCTCTTACCATCTTGGCTTCTGAGAGACACTGACACTCTGAGAAGCTCTTTTTATACCCAATCAGGTTGTCAGTTGACCTAATTAGTGTTAATTGGTCTTCCAGCTGTTCGTTATATGCTCAATTTCCTTTTTCCAGCCACTTATTGCTACTTGTCCCAAGTTTGCTGGGATTTGTTGACACTGTGAAATTTTGAATCAACATATTTGTCCTTTAAAATGTTACATTTACTCAGATTAAACTTTTGATCTGTCATCTATGTTATATTACGAATAAAATATTGACATTTGCCATCTCCACATCATTGCATTCAGTTTTTATTCACAATTTGTTTAGTGTCCAAACTTTTTTGGAATCCAGTTTGTGCAGCACTTTGTTGCAGCTGTGGTTATTTTAAAGGGCCTGATAAATAAAGTATTATTTTCTTCTTATTATTAATAATAATAAGAAGAATAAAATGCTGCAGATGTGAGGATCATTACTAATGTCACATGATTCATTTAAAAATGCCAGTTAGTTTTTTATATTACTGATCATTTGTATCTACAAGTTGGAGTTCTTCTGAAGTGTTATAAATAAAACGGAGCAAACAGAGCTTCACTGGAAGGTTTCACTCTTAATAGGTTATTAAAAATGTTACAGAAGTTGTTAATAGTAAAAGGCAAATTTTGAATGAATGTTACAAATATGTTCATTATTCCTACAAAACAGTTAAAATATTTATAAAATACACTGGACTTCAAATGTTACTGACTGAGATTAAGATAAAAGAAATGGTAGTTTATGTTTAAATATCAGTTTTCTGCTGTAGTAAATCATCCACACCTGCCTCCACCCTCATCTGCTCCAGCCTGGGCCCCTGAGCAAGGCACTCAACCCCCAACATCTGCTCCCAAAACAGGTCTCTCTTGAAATGAGTTCTCGTGGCTCAGTGAGACGACCCGGATAAATAATGGGTCAATGGAAAAAAACTCCATTATGTCCCCTTTGTTTGGGACTGGAACCAGTCTCACTGCTTTTGGGTGAAGGCAGGGGACACCCAGGACATGTCTCCAGTCTGTCCCAGAGACACCCAGGACAAATCTCCAGTCCGTCCCAGAGACACCCAGGACATGTCTCCAGTCTGTCCCAGAGACACCCAGGACAAATCTCCAGTCCGTCCCAGAGACACCCAGGACATGTCTCCAGTCCGTCCCAGAGACACCCAGGACAGGTCTCCAGTCCATCCCAGAGACACCCAGGACAAATCTCCAGTCCGTCCCAGAGACACCCAGGACAAGTCTCCAGTCCATCCCAGAGACACCCAGGACAAGTCTCCAGTCCGCCCCAGAGACACCCAGGACAAATCTCCAGTCCATCCCAGAGACACCCAGGACAAGTCTCCAGTCCGTCCCAGAGACAGACAAAGAGACAAACAACCACCCACACTCCTGGTCACAGCTCGGAACAATGTAGTTGCAGAGAAGAACCAAACAAAGATTCAAACTGAGGACTCAAGTTCTTGATGGAGAGTTCTAATTACTGATTATCAGTAATAATTGATCATATTTATCATGCAAACTCCTTACTGATAATCACTGTGGGGAGTTTTTAATAATACAGGTCAGATGTGACCAGGCAGTCATATATTCACATGTATGTAAGTATATCGTTGTTAATACTATAATTAAAGGTCAGCCGTGCACATTTGTATCAAACAAGTAGCTCTTCGTGTCTCGGTCCCACTGAAGTAGCTCTCAGTCTCAAAACGGTTCGGGAGCCCTGGTCTAGACTAAAATATCTGCAGGACCAGTTGAACTTCCACCTTATTTCTTAAGGCTGGCCGCTCATATCATCACAGTACCGGTGTCCCACATCTTTAACCGTCCATGAGACAAAACTCATTCCAGACACTTGGAAAGAGCCTTTTTGTTCATTCAACCTTTATTTCTACAGGTGAGTCTCACTGAGCCTCCGGGACTCATTTACAGAGACACCTGGTTTAACAAAGACAGACAACAGTGGACAGTTATAAAAAGGCACACAGAGTTTTTAATTATTTTTTACAAATTAAAATAAGATGCAAGAAAGTAACAAAAACAGCTAGATTCTAATGTGAATGTAGAAACTAAAAACAGGAACATGTCAGCATTGGTCCCTGCCAGGAGTCCAACAGATTCTTAAAGACACTTAGAGAGGTCAAAGGTCGAGAGCTTCAGATCTTTTTACAAGATATTCCAGGAAACAGGAGCGGAGTAGGAGAAGGTCCTTTTGTCTAGTTCAGTCCTCACTGAGGGAACACTGCAGGTAATGATGTCCTGAGAGCGCACGCTGTAGCTGCACTCACACAGAGACATGTAGGAGGAGATGTATGAAGGCAGCAGACCAGGAAGTGATTTAAAGATGAAAATGTACCAGTGGGAGAGTCTGTGTGAAGTTAATGGTGACCAGTTAACCAGTGGATACTGGGTGCAGTGGTGGGTACGGTAGTTACAGCCAGTTATGAATCTTAGTGCACCATGATAGACAGCATCCAACATCTGCAGCATCCAACATCTGCAACATCCAACATCTGCAGCATCCAACATCTGCAGCATCCAACATCTGCAGGTTCTTGTAGGAGCGCTCATGTAGATGATGTCACCGGGATCGATGGAGGGAGGGACATGTTGCTGTTTTTAGTATTTTATATTGGCACCGTTTTATAATGTAGCGGTTTTAGTTTTTATTTAATTTCTTCTATTTATTTTTCTCTTTCTCTGTTTTGAACATGGTTGTGTTTTGTTGTGTGGACGTCGTCGTTCTTTGTGAAATCAGCTCTTTGAGTCCTCGAGGCTCAGTGAGTGGATGAATCTATACTGTCACTGCTGGGTCAGGGTTCTGGTTCTGCTTCTCTCTCCTCACAGCCCTCACCTGAAGTTCACCAACCTGGTTCTGGTTTCGACCCGTGGTCTCGTCAGTCCTTGCGATCCAGAAGACAGCTTCTTGTCCACGAGGTGAAACAAATGTTCCCACAGATATCTGGTTCTGTACAGTCCAGTTCTTTGTCCAGAACCTCCTGTGTTCTGAACCTGCAGCCACGCCTACAGCACCAGAGACCTGGCCCAGATTCCTCTGCTCCTCTGCGTCACGGTTCTGACCGGCAAGATGGTCCAAATCAGACGCCAGTCCAAATACATCGTGCTGTCCGGTGGTGAGAAGGTTCTGTACGACCGTCTCATCCTCTGCACGGGCCTTCAGTACCGGGTGAGACAGAACAAAAACTGCTGGTTCTGGACCACGCCAACTGGGTCCAAAGTGTAGAAATGATTTGTTTGAGGTCTGAATGCACCAGAACTGGGTCAGATCCATGTTTTTATTCCTTCTTTATAAGAACCAAATGGTTCTGGTGTCATGGATCAGAACGCCTGAGGCTCATCTAAAGGTCCACTTTGAAACTGGGTCAAAGTTCTGATCAGTCTGCAGAGGGCACATTTAGTTCTTGTTGGAGGTTCTGGTTCTGGGGTCAGAACATTTTCACAGGATGGGACTCTGTCTGACCTTGAACACTCTGTTGAGTGTCCACATGTCTCTGCTGACTGTCCATGTGTCCCTGTT